AATGAGAGCTGAATCCATGGCACCTGTGGACATGGGGCAGTGCATAGAGCCACCTGTCCATGCCTCCATATAAAATCCAACTAGAAGAGGGCCATGTTGCTGCTGCTTCTGGGAGCTATTTGATAAGGTAAGGGGAGCCTAGTGCCTACACCCCTGAAACTCCTTTCCTGCCCTCAACCCCTCCTTTCCATCCCAGAACACCCTTCTGCACTCCAAATCCCTCACTTCCGGCCCCACCCCAGAACTCACACCCTGGCCAGAGCCCTCCCCTCCCCCACCCCCACACTCTTTAATCTCCTACTTTAGACCAGAGCTCCCTCTCACAAACTGGACTCATTTTTGGCTCCACTTCAGAGCCCACAACCCCAGCCAGAGCCTTCCCTTCCTCTCACACCTCAACCCGAATTTTGTGAGCATTTATGGCCCTCCATACAATTTCCATCTCCTTATGTGGCCTCCAGCCAAAAAGTTTGCCCATGTCTGCACCAAACTCTGTGAAGGAGATGGAGCAGGGCCCTCTCTCCAATATCAGCCATCAGGCTGGCCCAACATAAGGAGTGCAGGCTAAGCCTACTAAAGGATATATCAGCACCTGCTTTCCTCCTGTGCCCTGAAAGGCAACCTGCCTCCAGGAGTTTCTTCGGGGCCAAAGCAGGACCTGAAAGAATGCTCTAGCTGGAAGGGGGGAAGATCCTATGTTCGTCTATGTAAATATAGTTTACCCCTACTTTACTTAGATTTGTTAGATATTCAGTAGATGGAGTAGTATTTTACTCATTGTAATCAACTTAATTTATGACCCAACACCAGATATGTTTGTATTAAATGCAGGGATAGCTGAAATATGGTTACCAATGTTTATAATTTTGTGGAAATACAGAAAAGTAATATTGTGCTAAACTGTTCCAAAGTAAGTGCTCACAGTTAGCAGAAAGAACCTTGCTAAGTAGAAGTTCAACTTTCAGAGTTCTGTGAGAGAAGAGGTATGAGGTAAGGTTATTCTGGCCAGGAATACATACCCTCTCTTGCCTGGATTGTTTTGACCTGTTTCCCCATCCCTCTATTCAAAGAACAGAGCCCTTAAAAGAACAGAGCTAAACAGGCATTATTATAAGGCCTCTTCCTTATGTTAATTGTGCTGTAGTTGTGTTGCTTCTACGCTGCTTGCTAAGAGTTGAAATCACTGGGAGTTGAAATTACTTGAGACTGACAGACAGAACTCACAGCCAAGAAGTAAATGGCAGCAGATGGTGACTGACAGCCGCAGAGGCAGTTACCACCACCAGGTGGATTTGAACCTGGGATATATGAGCCTCTACCCTCTGAACTAAAAGCTAGCTGGCTCCCAGCCCATGCTGTAGAAGTCTCTTGATGTTAGCTGTTGCTGTGGTCTAAATGCCACTGCATGGTAACCACACCAGGTGTGTGGGGTTACAGCAGCACGAGCAGCAGGAGAAAGGTGCAACAAGTGGCCACCAGAGCAATGGCAGAGAAGCGCCATGAGCCACCAATAGGGTGGCAGCATAGAGCAGTGAGCAGGCAGATGGTGAGTAAGATGCCTCTTTACCCCCACCCCAGGATGGGAGGTGGACTCTGAACATGCAACCCTAAACTCTGGGTCTGTACTGATCAATGATAGCAACTATGAGAGAAGTGCAGAGAAGGGCTGGGCATTTGAAGAGGACATTGAGACTGCTGGACTTAAGAATTGGAGAGGAAAAGGACACGGCCCAAACCACTTGGGGTGGCACTTTTACTCATGGGTTGTTTATGACCACCTGTTTGAGGTGTTTTCCCAAATTAATGTCAAGTTACTTCCCTCCATTTTATTAAAAATTTATTTTCTATGCTCAGACCCTGTGCTTGCAAGTGGGGAATCATTGCCTCTTAGAGACACTCGAGGTGATATGTGAAATTTTCAGGTTACTGGGGAGGGCTCGAGCCAATTCTGATTGGATGGATTGAGAAGAACTCCTAGATATTGAACCTGGCCCTGGCTTCTGCTGGCTTCACCTGGCGGAAGGTTACACAGTCAATGTTTTATAGCCTCATTCTGGCCCTCGTTCTATTATATATGGGGAAGATGCTCAGAGAATGGTTTTGATTCAACTTCTGATTCTTCACTAGACTCTGTAAAGTTACAAAAATTAAGAGGCAGATCCTGATGTTCACTCCAGCCCCTTTGAACTAGGTAAAAGGGCTGAATTGGCATAAACTGACCCTAAAATTAAAGGAACCAGGCATAGACTCCCTCCCTAACACCGCACTGCAAACCATTCCTTTTTTGTACCATTTTTCTACTTCTTTTCAAAACATTCTGATGACGCATTTTGATGATGTGTCAAACATTACATTGATTATTTTCAATTACAATATTAGGGTGTTTTGTATATGTGAATCATACTGAATGCTAACTGGGGAGTGTTCAGCGTTCACACTAAACACTGCCCAGTCAGTATGGGTATGTCTACACTACAAAGTTAATTCGAACTAACAGACGTTAGTGCGAATTAACTTTGATAGGTGCTACACTAGCGCTCCGCTAGTTCGAACTTAATTCGAACTAGCGGAGCGCTTAGTTCGAACTAGGTAAACCTCATTCCATGAGGACTAAGCCTAGTTCGAACTTCCTAGTTCAAATTAAGGGGTGTGTAGCCCCTTAATTCGAACTAGTGGGAGGCTAGCCTTCCCCAGCTTTCCCTGGTGGCCACTCTGGCCAACACCAGGGAAACTCTATTGTCCCCCTCCCGGCCCCGGACCCCTTAAAGGGGCACGGGCTGGCTACGATGCCCATGCCAGGTGCAAGCCTGCCAGCACCCAGCCAGCAGACCCTGCACCTGGCACGGCTTGAGCCAGCCACCTGATGCCCCCCAGCCCTCCCCCTCTTCCCGGGACCAGGCTGGCGGCTCTCGGGAGCTTGCCCGGGACCGCAAGAGGCGGGCACCCGCCTGGTCTAGTGCGGACGCACTAGGCACAGGAAAGTGGCCGTCTAGGGCAGGATAGCTGCCAGCCTGGCCACCCAGGAGCAGGTTTGCATGAAAATCAAGGTGGTCCACTGAGACCCCCGACCCTGAGCACTGAGCTTAGAATGGCCGTACTGGGTCAGACCAAAGGTCCATTTAGCCCAGTAGCCTGTCTGCTGACAGCGGCCAACCCTAGGGATCCTGGAGGGGATGGACCAAAGACAGTGACCAAGCCATTTGTCTTGTGCTATCCCACTCCAGCCTTCCACAAAACTTCGGGCAGGGACACCCTCCTACCCCTGGCTAATACCACTCCATGGACCCAACCTCCAAGAATTGATCTCACTTCTCTTTAAACTCTGTTCTAGTTCTAGCCTTCACAGCCTCCTGCAGCAAGGAGTTCCACAGGTTGACTCTTTGCTTTGTGAAGAAGAACTTTCTGTTATTAGTTTGAAGCCTGCTACCCATTCCTTTCCTTTGGTGTCCTCTAGTCCTTCTATTATGGGAACTACTGAAGAACTTTTCTGTATGCACCCTCTCCACCCCACTCATGCTTTTATAGACCTCTATCATATCCACCCCTCCATCTCCTCTTTTCTAAGCTGAAAAGTCCCAGTCTCTTTAGCCTCTCTTCATATGGGACCTGTTCCAAACCCCTCATCATTGTAGTTGCCCTCCCCTCTCCCACCCTCTCTCTTCCCCTCTCCCACCTCCTTTTCCCAGTCTCCTCCAGTTTTGCTCAATTAAGAGATATTTTATTTTTGAACACAATTGTCCTTTATTTTGTACATCAGGAAGGGGGGCTAGGGAGGGGTAAGTGGAAGGAGGTGAGGGAGGAATGGGGTACGAGCCCCCGATAGGGAGGACTGGGCTGGCTCTGTGGGTTTCTGGGGGGTGGAACCTCTCCTGCAGCCCCCCAATTACTCCCTCTCTCCACATGGCAGCCTGCGGCAAGTGCAGCCGGTCTGATGGCCGAGTGCTGTGATGTGCCCAGTGTGGGTACTCCGGGCAATCCAAGCCAGGACTTCTTTGCAAGCGGGGCACCCCTGAGAACTGTCTGTCCAGGGTGGGGGTTGGGTCCCTTCAAGTACAGCCCTTGGCTAGCCTGAGACAGCAGCTCCACGCTCTAAGTCCTCATCTGATGCCCTGCCGGCACTGCTTCCGGCCATCCTTAACCCCGGTTCAGGGTCCACTCTGTGTGGACATGCTAGTTCGAATTAGCAAAATGATAATTCGAACTAATTCGAATTAGCTTAGTTCGAATTAACTGATTCGAACTAAGTTCGTTCGAATTAGCGCTGTAGTGTAGACATACCCTATGATTCACAAAGTATTGAAACATTTATACAGATAATGATGGAACTCCCACAATGGAGTTGTCATTTGTAAGGAGATTTCTTGGATGGTGCAGAAATGGCAGTAAGATTCTATTCCGATCCTTGATGTAGGTGGTGTGCTGAGGTAATGCCAGAGGGAATGCATAGGGATATTCTTGGCTGTCCATGGTTTCTAAGGGGGTAGCAGTAGTGTAAAAGTAGAACAGACCTGAGGCTTCTCTAAGCTAGACTGGAGAATAGTCAGCTCCCAGACTCTAGGGAAAAGAAGACACCTTTAACCCTTAGGCATTACCCAGCTACCACTTGCTGATAAATTAATCATAGCTAGAATAAAGAATCAATCTGATCACTTGCCCCACTAATGGAATGCAGCCAATTTTTCAACCACAGCAACTGTACACCACCACTCACCACATGAAGACATTAAGGGCTTGTCGGGATACTTCCAGTATCCCAAAATAGCATTTTCTGCATCTTGACACTTTACCCTTTATTTTGAAATAGCTTTAGAAATAACAGGTGCCCTATTCTGTTGTCTCTGTAAACATCATTCCATGAGGATTAAGGCATGGACAGCACCAAATTGGCTATGTAAAGAGCGCCAAATTTAGAAATAAGCTATTTCAAAATTAACTCAAAATAAGCTATGGGTACAGTATAGACGCACCCTACGTCATCACAATTAGTATCAAATAGCTACCTGACAATGGGCAGAGTCAAACGACAGTTTAGTAAGGACAGGGCTCCGGAGATGCGACGTGACAGGTTTTGTGTTTGCCTGTTGAGAACATCCAAAATAAATGAATGACCCTGAAAAATAAAAATCAGTGAAATGTTAGAAGCATCCTGGCCCCCAAAGATGAACACTTGTCTGAGAGAACTAGCCTTTACTTAGTGATGCACAGTAAGCATCTTCATTTACCCTAACAAGTGCAGTAGCACTGTCTCCCATTAATCAGAGCACTAGGAACAGACTGGAACAGACTTTGGTTGCCTCTGGATAGGTCTGAATGGATGAGTGAGGAAATAGGAACCTTTCTCCTCCAGTGCTCCCATGTGGAAAGCCCCAAATACAAGGACAGGAGACATGTGGCATAAGAAAAAAAAATAGTGACTTCAGCAGCAATCGACACTCTAAAGGGAATGTGACTGGTCTGTTTGGAATCAAGGCTAAGTCTCCCCCTTACTGTGCCTGCAAGTGCTCGGAGGCCATGGCTGTGCATACACACATTGGACACCGGCAAAGATAGCTCACATGCTGAGGTCCAGAACTTTCCCAGGGCTGTGCTTCTTGCACTTGCCCTCCTCAGATGGAAAACAGACCCCTCTCTATCAAACAGTACAGCTGCCCAGCTATCCCACTCCTCCACATCCTACTTCCAGAATGGGTCCAAGTTTCAGAGTGCAGGAAAGGTGCACCACTAGGAGCACTGAAAGCCTGAGAGATTAAAAAAAAATACAGACCTCAGCTGGGAGCTCCAAAAGGCACATTTTAATTGGTTTTAATAGTGGTGTAAATAGTGTTTAGAATCAAAATTCAATGAAACTCGGATTAGGTATAGCTTTCAGCTTATCCTTAACAAATTCCCACGGCAACCTAGCAGAGTTTAGGCATGTTAACAATGTTGCAATCCAATGAAATAAGCTATATTTTCTCCTAGGGTCTTGCAGACTTCACATTGTTGTCTGTGCTAGTGGGGATGAAAGCTTAATTAAAGATCTAATCTGAATTCTGGCAAACTAACTGCCTTTGGACTGGAACAACAGCAGATGTGCTCAAGACAAAAGTAGGAAAGGATAAACATCTTCAAGGGCCCCTAAAGCTGCACATTTTAGAAGCCATCAATGCTGCCTTCATTGAATACTGAAAAGTTTTCCATGAAAGTCTATGCAAAGTAACACCAAGGGCTCATTCTTGCCCACTGATATTACACTCATCGCCTTGTGTCTTGGAAAATCCGTTACTGTACTGGCACAATAATGAGCATTAACCATTTTCCCAGAGATGCATGGGAATGGAGCAGAGAGCTGGATCCAGGCCTAAGTAAAGAATGACGTACACAATGATCTACAGTGATATACAATGATTAACCCACATTGGTACACAAAGGTGCCAGGCGCACCTTCCAGAACAAAGCCTGCTACTCTCCATAACATCAGAAAAGACATCTTCACTCATAAGCAGATCATTTTTTCATGGGACATAGCTTCAGACATTAGCTGAGGCTCCAGAGTAGCCCTGGCAGTATAGATTGTGGAGGACACACCTATCCTGAACCAGCATAACTCACTGTGTCCGTAATATCCTGAAGCAACTACAGGCTCCTTACATCCTGGTAAATGCTGACAGAATTTGGCATTTATCAGGAAAGCATCTATCCTGCTGCCTGGAGAAGAATGGAGAACTACCAGTGAGATTCTCACTCCATCCCCTTTACAGTGTTTTAGGCCAGAGTAGCATAAAGGGACCCCAAAATCCTATGGAAGCAGAATACTCTGTGCAGGCATGGTGATGGACAACCATAAGGCGTATCTGCTTGTGGCTGAGGTCAGAAGGATATGTTGAGGTGAGGCAACAGCATGGCAGGAATTATGGGAAACTCTGCAGCTCATAACAGAAGCCTGTGAAGGCTTCTGTAATAGGGGTGTAATAGAGTAGTAGAAAAAAGCAAAAGCTTATAGGTTAATGCTATAGACTACATGCATTTCCCTCTCCCCCTCTCCCTGCCAGTAAATTTTTAGCAGCCTGGCCAGCAGCCTGGCTCAGTCCTGGCTTGCAACAGTTCTAGGACCTACCCTTGCTGTGGCTCTGTATTTCAAGTGTATTAGTAGCTGGGTGGGCAGGCAGCCTGGCTCATGCTGGGTCCAAAACCTATCCCCATTTCAGCTCTGCATTTCAAGTGTATTAAGAGCCAGATGGGCAGGCAGCCTGGCTCAGTTCCAGCTCATGCTGGGTTCAGAAGCTCAGATCCCCTCTAGACAGGGACTGCTGCTGACTCTCTCTCAGAAGCAGCAGCACAGGGTGACAGGCTCCCTGTCCGCACCAGCTCCCACCTGACACCACCCTGTGCTGCTGCCTCTGATACAGTGGCTGCCAGCCCCACCCCCAGAGACTATAAAATAGTCAACTAACCGATAAAATTTCATGAGGTTATTCGATTATTTAATTAACCAGTATTTAACATCCCCATTCTGTAACTTACTCAGGCTCCCAACGCTTGCCAAGGCTTTTCCTATAAAGCACAGTTGTAGCAGCACTTTAACGTGGCAGTATGGTCACGGCACCAGAGCTGGCAGAGTGCTCTCCTGTACGTAAGTAAACCATTTCCATAAGGGGAGTAGCTAACAACACTGAAAGCACTGTTCCTAGCACTTTGAGTCTGTTTACACTGGCGCTTTACAGTACTGAGGGGCGGGGGGTTCACACCCCTGAGCAAGAAAGTTGCAGTGTAGTAAAGTGGCCAAGTAGACAAGCCCTAAGTTATACCTGGGATTCCACCAGTCCGTCCCCCCCGCCTCCCCAGAATTAGAAGTGCATAAAGGTGGCTTAAACCTCCTTAGCATCTTTTCCTTGAACTACAAGTTCTATGTTCTGCCTCTAAATTCTTCAGAGTTAGAATGGATTGCAGAAAATACAGAAGTGGGTTGGGCTACATATTGAATGTTTGGAATAAAAATGAAATTTTGAAGAGCTGCTCATTATGTAAGCATTATCCATCCTGTGCACTTAGAGGCATGGATCCTATGGAAAGACAGTGTGGATCACATAATTAAAGACAGCATCACAATGCATACACATAAGGGAACCCTATTAAGGTGGCACAAGCAACCTACATTCTGTCATTTCCTAATTAGTTGACTTTTGCAACATTAACATTAGTTTAATGTTTTTGCAAGTAATATGTGTCTGCTTTAAAAAAAACTCATTTCAATAGTACTGGAAAAGCTTTATCTGAAATTGGGCTTGGAGCATTCCTTAAAGGTGGTCAAGCTTTAGATTAGTCAGATCTCCTCTGGATGGTGCATGATAAATTCTACATTTTGATAATGCTACAATCATAGAAAGCTTGATAGTGTACGTTATCATGTAAGACAAGGTCCCTTCCAGTCCTATGATTCTATGATTCTATGAAGACATTTTCAGAATTGTACATTGCTTTGCAAATGCATTGTCCTTTTGCAAAAGAACACAAATGGGCCCTCTTTATTTAAATTCCTCTGCTGACCTCACTGCACAAAAGCAATGAGATAGCTACTGACTCAGGTAAAGCAACTATTCTGCACACAGTCTGCCTGTCCCAAGCAAAAGTCATCAGTGTAGAAAAATAACACTGTTTAAATTATTTTCTTGGGATTCAGACCTGGCTTCAGTGGAAAATTTTCTTAAGCAATAACTAAAAGAATAGGCTCTCTAAATACTGGACATAATGTTGTTTACTGTGTATGTGAAAGAAACTCTGCTTGTCAGTGTGCAGGAGCTCAAGATATCAAAACCAACATTACTACCAGCATTAATTAGCATCCCATTGCCTATCTCCAATAAAGTAATCATGGTATTGGCATAGAAACTATAATCCAGTGATTTCTCTGGGAACATTTCAGAAACCGCATAATTGAGCAACATTAGGTGGACAGAGGGAATAAACTTGTATTGATACTATCCATATTACATATACTACAGTGTTTTTAGATTCCAGTGTTGTCAGTCAGGCATCCTTCATGAGCATTAAAATTCACTTTTAGAAGGGAAACTATGTGAGAGAGACTTACCATGTTCACTATGCGTTGTATGATCTTTGTTAGGAAGTGCTGTGTCATTGGAAGTCTTTCCTTTTACTATACTCCATTTAACATCTTCTGTGTTTAATGGCTTCCATCCACAAAAATCAGACTCAAAGTCACATGAAGTGGAATTTGCTATCATGAGCAGGAGAATAAGGAAAGTCATATATAACAGTTTTATATTGGAAATGCCCATCATTCACCTCATGTGTAAACTAGTCTGCTTTGTTTCGTATGCAGTCTGAATCACTTTCCTGGCAAAAGGTGATAACCAATGTTCTAGAAGGGTATGTAGCATACTAACCAGGTTTGTCCAGCCTCAGTTAAGATACACGTAATTTTAAGAAAAACTAGTATTAATTAAGAAGTTCTTGATTTTAATGATGAAATCTTAATGGCGTTCTGTCAAATGGTTTGGCAAATAGTTACAAATATTTCTTGAAATTAGGAAAACTTTTTACAGGAGAAAGCTCTTTAAGAATGTATGGTAAAAATTTCAAGGGCCTAAATGATTTAGAGTAATTGAAAGTCAATGGGGATTAAAGGCCGAAGTGCTTAAGTCATTTTAAAAATAGGATTTAGGCTTCTTTCACTTAAAAACATTGGATTTTTTTTTTTACCAAAAACATACAAGGTAATTAAACTACAATCAAGTTATTTGAATGGCTGCAGATCATACCAACATTGGTTATATAAAAACATTGCACTCCCTCTATTTTCTACTTAACTCAAAGAAGGCAGTATCTCCAGAATCATAGCCAAATTAAATAATTTATTAGCATAATAAATTATCAACATATTCTTCTCAAGTGCAGACCAATAACCTGGAAATATATTACACCTTTCTAAACCCTTTAGAACATTTATCACAGTTGTAGAAAGTTCTTTAGGGATTCTATATAGTTGTGAGAAAGATCCAAAAGCATTTGTTACATCATGAAACTATCATTCCAGATTACATTTTTTTGTGTTTTGCCTTTCACAGAATACAGCTCTGCTCAAATAGCTCAGCACTAAAATTCCTCACACCACACAGAAAAAGGCCCTTCCAATTACTAATAAGTCTTAAACTAACACAAAACACAACACTAAAATCAGCACCACTGAATTAGATCTACAATGCACATTTAATTTTGGTATAACACACTGGTCCCCATTTGCTATAGTATATTAAACATGTATTTATACTACAGTATTAAATTTATCTAATTAAGAAACACTTAGGCATTTGACAAGGTCTCTTGCTAATTAGACTTCAATTGTTAATACACAAGTAAAATATGCAAATGGTAATCCAGTTTAAGCTATTTTGCTGAGTACTAATTAAATACCTAGACCCCTAGGCATTATGCTTACTTAGGCCATCATTTGATGTAGGCAGTTTGAAAAAAAATGAATGCATTTAGATTTGCTTCACTTAAATATCTATTTCTTCTGCCTCTTCTACAACCTGTCTTGTGCATGAGAAACTGAGGACTTGTCTACACAGTCAGCTAGGGCACAGAAAGCTGGAGTTTAAATCTATAGCACATTAGTTTGCCACACAATAATTGGTCATGTGGCCACTACTAGCACACACTTAGAGTTCCATAGTGCACTGGGACCAACTGCTTATGGCAACAGCTCAAAGCACATTACAGAAATTTAGTGTGGGAACATGGTCTGCATGATAATTTAGTGACCATCACGCCATGCACTATGGACAATTTCATAGTGTATGGGCTACACGGTACTAACAAAAAATCCCTTTCAAAATAATGATATAAATGTAGCCCTGTTAGTATATTGGCTTCCATTTCCTTTTCACAGGCCAATAGAGTAGTTAAGTGAAGGAGCCCTCCTAAAGTTAGAGAGAGTTTCCTTTACATTTGGGAATGAGATAACCTCTTACAAATATCTACTCTTTGAGATGAATATAAAGATTTTCATTGGATTGAATTGTAAGAATACTTCTTTCATATAGTTTGATGTATGTGAAATATATTTAAATGTATTCGGGGATCATTAATAGATTTTTGCTGCTATTCTGAATATGCTCCTCTGCAGCTGAGAAATAAAAGCCATCCAGAAAGCAGAAAGTGATTAGAGTTCATTGCAAATTGAGTTTTGCACTTCCAAGAGATATATGTGAAGGGGATCTTCTCTACACCCTGGTTTACACTAGAAAGTTAGTTCAAAATAACCCCCCTTATTTCAAAAAAAAAGTGTCGTGTCCACACTACAAGCTTGTTATTTCAAAATAACGGACTAGTTATTTTGAAATAATAACTTCTCCTTTCCATGAGGAATAATGCTCATCTTGAAATATTCAGGGGGTAGCCAAATTAGTCTATAACTGGAAAAACTAAAAAAAAACAAACGAATAGCACCTTAAAGACTAACAAATATGTAGATGATATCATGAGCGTTCCTGGGCACAACCCTCTTCTTCACATGAATGGAGTATTAAAGGTTAAGTTCCAAAATAAATAGTAGAGATTGGGGAGGGAGGAGTGGAGAGAAAGAAGGGAAAAGGGTTGGTTTGAGTGTGGTATGTCCTGTGGTTGTTGGTAAGAATCATCTTGAGGTTAGGTGGTTGTCTATAGGAGACTATGGGTCTGTCTTCCAGAGCCTCTGGAGTTTAGTATCCTGTTCCAGTATAGGCTGTAGTTTATTGATAATGTGTTGGACAGGTTTAAGTTGGAGGCTGTAGGTGATGACAAGTGGTGTTCTATTGTTGGTTTTCTTGGGTCTGTCTTGAAGTAGATGGTTTCTAGGTATTCGTCTGGCTCTTTCAATTTGCTTCATGTAAAAATATAATTAATTCAAAACACAGAGGAGGTCATTTTTATAACTACTTGGAAAATGGAGAGACCAGGTGAGAGAGGTGATACATTTTTGAGGATCAATTTCTGTTGGCAAAAGAAGCCAGGTTAACTACAAATTTACATTGGCATAACTACATTACTCAGAGGAGCTGTGAAAAATTCACATAGTTATACCAATCTCGTCTGGAGGTTAGGAGCTATATGAATAGGAGAGCCGTGGAACGAGGTGTAACGGTAGTTCGAATTAGAAAGCCTAATTCGAACTACCTACTCCGTGCCGCGTGTAGCCGCGGGCATGGAGTCCGAACTACTGGGGATTTAAAAATGGCGGCGCCCGGCAAGATGCAAATGAAGCCCGGGATATTTAAATCCCGGGCTTCATTTGCAACTTCGATTGACTACATTAACCACCCTAGTTCGAACTAGGGTGGTAGTGTAGACATACCCAGGTAGATTAACCATGCCAAAAAGACAAGCTCTTCTGTCACTAGTAGTAGTATTTTGTCTAAAACTGTGTAGACAAGCCTGGAGATAAGATGTTTAGCTTACAAAGGGCTCTTCTTCAGGTCTGGGAAAGGTACTCAGAGCATCACAGCTAAGTACAAGGTAAAACAAATTGTTTAGCATCAGTAGTTAAATATTTGAAGGGACGCATGGTAAAGTGGCAAATTAACACCTCTCCAATCAAAGGAGGGAAAAGCATAAAGAGTTAGTTTACATTTAAAATGTGCATATTTGGGGACAGAGGGATAGACCTTTTATGCATTAGACTTTTTTTTTAGTCATTGTTTGTTGTTGTTAAAGAGCATGGAAACTGAAGGACGGATTTCCAAGAAGAGAACGACCAATGAAATAGTTCTAACAATGGAATTAGTGGAATCCTTATGTTCACTGAAGTTAGATTCATGAGATATCCAGCCTCATAAAGATACTTCACATGATCTAATCTTAAACATCATTATTTGTGAAGATTTGTTCCCTTTCTCCTTCCGTCCCACACAGCATTGTCTCACTTAGGAGCAGCATGTACCTGCTGTAGGAGTCATATGCTACTGGCTCAAATTTTAGGAGAGCAGTCTCACAAGATGATACACTTTTGATGTGACCCATCAATAGGGAGCACATAATCCATGTATCTCAAACTGAACTCAGTGTGGTGGTTTTCCCCTCCTTAAATATAGCTAGAATCATGTCAGTACAACAATGTGGTGAAATCATTGTGATGCCTGAGGCTTTTTTGTACGCAATCTACATAGGACAAAGGAGGACTCCTCTCCAGATGTAGGAAACAGATGCTTTGGTAACAACAATGGTCCTGTAGCACCATGGAGACTAACCATAACTATATAGATAATATCATGAGCTTTCATGGGCACAACCCACTTCTTCAGATGTCAACATATTTTAGTTAGTCTAAGGTGCTACAGGACCATTGTTTTTTAAAGTGTTTTAGGTGCTTGGGCAGAGCTCCTGCCAATGAACCAAAGCAAGTTTTGAATGCAGCTAGCCTTGTGTCAGCCCTTCTGCAGTGCCCTCTTTCTCCCACCTTCCCCCAAATACTGCTGCAGAACACATCTCCATGGTCTGCAAGATATATTGAGGCATCCTGCTGGCCTTTCTGTAGCCTCTCTTGGGCTGTGTCCAGACTCAGGGATTTTTTCGGGAAAAGTAGCCTTTTTCCGAAAAAACTTCACCTGCGTCTAGACTGCAGCCGCGTTCTTTCGAAATTAAATCGAAAGAACGCGGCTTTTCTTTCGACGGCGGTAAACCTCATTTCACGAGGAAGAACGCCTTCTTTCGAAAGTGCTTCTTTCGAAAGAAGGCATTCTTGAATGTAAATAGGGCTTCTTCGAAAGAGAGCATCCAGACTCACTGGGTGCTTTCTTTCGAAAAAGCGGCTTGCTCTTTCGAAAGAGGCTTGCAGTCTAGACATAGCCTTGCTGTATTTCAGGCTTGCCACATCAGTGTGAAAAGAGAGAATTCCCCCATAGTGAGTTCATGGATAAAAAACTGTTGCATTCTGAGTAAGTACATTAGTTCTACTTCTTAACCAGGAAAAATGATATTTGAGTCAGTTTTCTTTTGTTAAAAAAATACAGGTTCTTTACCAGAGTAAATAATGCATCTAACTTGCCTGTTTGCTGTGTGTGAGAGAGAAAAAAAGGCAGAAAAGAATCAGAAGGAGCTGTGAATGGTGCTTATGAAATACAATGACAGGAAAACCATTAACTATATGTCATTGTGGCCTTACCTTTCTTTTTTCATTTATATAATACATACTCTTAAAAACTAGTCCTCATGTTCATGAACATTTTTTGCCTCAAAATCATTTGTAGTGGATTCCAAGAAATAATCAGACCACCATTCTCGTGTATAGTTACGTTACATGAGCTAACAACTTGCTATCACTAAGTTTCTATCTAATTAAAAATGGATTCTTAAAGGCTGGAGGAATACAAAATGTATAGAACACATTGCATTGGGCCCTTTCCCACTCTTAATGAAGGCATGGAAATAAATTCCACTGAACTGAGTGGAGCAGGATCAAGCCAGAAACAACATACAAGTGCGCCAGTAAAGATTGAAATAGAGAAGTGGCAAAAGATATAAGCATTAGCTTGGGTTCTAAATTGGAGCTAAAACAACATGATTTTCCTTATTTACATGGTTGTTTAAGTGATCAAAATAAGATAACCATTCAGATTACAAAGCAGGTAAGAAGGGAAAAATCAACAATTTTTAATTGTTTTCAAAGACTTTTCACTGCAAATGTTATTGACCACAGTCTCAATCCAACCTAATTTAGGTGGCTACACTTGTAGGTTCACAGAAACTTTATTTATCTTATCTGGCATCTGCATTTTTTTAAATTCAAGTATTTGGAAATTCGGAAACATAGCCAATAACCACAGAAGTTTGCCATATAATCTTCATTTAGAAGCCAGAGTGTCCATTAAAATTACTTCTATATGCAGCTTTAAACCATGGCAGGCTCATAAATATGTGTATCATCTATTAAATATAATTACTTTCCAGTGCTAAGCAAAGTAAGCTTCAATTTAAAATGTCATGGCTAAGATACAGCTACTAAATTGAAACAATTATTAATGGCAGTTTCCAAGGAAAGGGTCCTGAAAATATTATAGTGCCACATTATACGCACACACTCTCATTCAGTCACAGACTGATTAAATTAGAGAAAAATTCAAATAGCAAAATCTGAACCCAGTTTTTAAAAAAATATATAATTAGGGATAAGTCTGAAACACAAGCGTCATACAAATCACCTCCAAACTACTTAGGATTTATTATAAGGATCTGAGTCTTGCTGCTGAGGCCTATATAGACAGGAGTAGAAAGGAGTGGAAAGAAAGATGGTGTGATCAGTTATAAAAATTTTTACATGACGTTGTAAATCACACTAAGCCCCAGACTTTCTACATGAAAGCTGCTATATAAACAAGGCACTATTATAATCCATTTTCTATCTAGTTCTTTTCTGGTTAGGATACAAACATTATCCTTTTATACCACAGAGCATTTTAGCATCATCGTTTTATAAAACAGTTTAATTCACTTACAACAAGCTGTTGGATCTTCGTCACTTCCATCTGAACAGTCCAGCTGGTAATCACAGCCTGATCCACTGGCAACACACTGGCCATTGGCACAGGAGAACTCCTCTGGGGAGCAGAGCCTTGGTGATTCTGATGCTGCCCAGCCTGAGAACTGGAGGTTATCCAGGCAGATAAGCCCTGTCCTGCTCTGAATAGCTCCTTCAAACACAAGCTGTGAGAATTGTTATTCTTTAAAATATCTGTGCAAATATATGCAGGGGCAGAAGAAAACAGGGATTTTTTTTCACAAAATGTGAAAAGATTTATTATCGATGGGACAGGTCACTTTATCCTTTATGAGACTGCTTATCACTTTGCCAAACTGTTTGGACTGAAATTTCCCATGCCAGGAGTTTGGGGTGGGAGATAAGAACAGAATGGGATACAGACAGGCTGGGGAGGACAGGGAAAGAAGAGGCTGCAGGTGAACACACTCCCCTACAGGATCTGGGACTGGATTGAGCATTCCAGAGTCATGGCTAGCAAAGAGCTGTGAAATGTCTCTCCTGCTCCTCTCCTAGTGCCAGATCAACACAGAAGATAGGAATCCAAGGCTTTCATCAGTTACTCCTCAAGTACAGGACTAGGCTGAAAAAATTGTAAATTACCATGAAATTAAAGACTGTTTTATAATGCAGTAGGGTGTTGAGTATCCCCCACATAGAAAGGAAGTCAACTGCTGCTCTGCCTCAGTTCCCATCCACAGTCCACCTCTTCTCCCCAGCTCCCACCCCTGCCTCACCTCTTTCTACCCCTAACCCCATTCCACCCCTCCATCCAATGCCCCGCTTCCTTCTGCCCTTACTCCACTCCCACCTCACCTCTTCCTGATCCCTTCTGCCAGCATGCACCATCGACAATCCTTTCCTTCCTTCCCAGAAAGGGATGGGAGGAGGAATGTATCAGTGGGGCTACCAGTGGGCTGAGGCACTGGAGTGAACTTGGCTACCAGTGGGTGCTAAGGACCACCTAATTTTTTCATGGGTGCTGCAGGGCTGGCACACCCATGGAGTCTGTGCCTATGTTAATGCACATGCGTAAATAAGGTGAATTAAGGTTGTACATGCAATCTAAAGCATTTGTTGTGGTTTGCTCATTCACTGAAATTAATTCATTCTAGTACAGGCTGAACCTCTCTTAATCAGCAACATTCCTAGTCCAGAAGGACCATGGATGTTCAGGACCAGTGAGTCCTGTGAGGGCTGGTGGTTGGGAGCCCTGTAGCATGGTTGGGGCCCAGTTGCGGGCTGCCGCCTGGCAGCAAAACTACTACCCAGCAGCAAAAGTGCCCAGAAAGAATAGGAGACAGCAGAATTGCCCAGTGATGAAGTCAAGAGCAAGCAACAGAGTGACTCAGCAGCACAACCAGGAGTCTGAGAGCCCTGCTACCATCCAGCAGTACAGAGGCACAGAAATGACCTTCCCTGATCCGGCAAAGGCCCTCATTCAGGACCGTTCAGATCCCATGGGTGCTAGACCAGGAAGGTCTAACCTGTACACCTAAAGATTAAGAAACTGATTTTTTAGATACCTATCAGTAAACGTAATGATCCAAATCAAGTCCGTCTTTCCTCAGAAGCTTTAAATAATGGTGTGGTTTGCATGCACCTTACATATAAAACACCAGCACAAATACAATACTACTAAAATGAAATTAGAAGAGAAATCTAATAATTTACTGGAGACTTTAAGAACTAAATACTGGAAAATGCATCTTTAAAACAATTTAAAAACCCATGTGCTTTCAAAACACAAGTGCTTGCCTTTTTTATTCATACCTTTAATTTTTTCAGACTTGCTGGTACCTGCACATCTGCTTTGATCCATTCATTGTTAGTCGATGTATTGGATTTCCACAGCACTTGTTCCTCCTGTCAGATGTAGAATATGAATTTACAAAGAAAAAGTTTATCTCCCTATTTATTACCTGATTTTTTTTGCCCTTGATCTTTCAAACTACCAACAGAACTTCCTGTCTGTCCTGTCACTTTCCATGAGGAAACATGACTACAAGCATTTATTTGTAATCTTTACATTACTCATGCAGCATGGACTCCAGGGGAGAGATGGGAGTAAGAGACATTTACAGTGATTAAACAATTTAATTGCTTAATTAATCAGCAGATAACTTGGTAGCAGTAAAATTAATTGCGACGCAAATTACTTCCATTTCTGCTGAACTTAGCTTGAATGTAGTGAAACGTTTCTAATAAGTATTGTGGACTCATTTAAATCAAAGGCAAATCTCCCACAGATATTAATGAGAGGATAACAGGGCCCTTATGCATCTGGGGATATTGGTTTATTAATTATTATTATTATTATTATTATTATGCAAAATAAAATGCACCACCAGTAGATTTAGCCTTAATACTTATAACTGAATCTAGAGCGTCTCAAAAGTGCCTGATCAATTGAAGTCATTTCCTTTCCATAGAAAAAATGGAGTTTGGGCAGCGGTGCTGAAAAAGTCTGCCAAGGCTGATTCTGCATGATGAATGCAGAAGTGGAGGCTCGCAAAAGTACCCCAAAACCTTATTTTTCCAGGCTTTGGTATAAAACTTCCCCCCAAAATCCTAAAAAGCTAGATTTTGGGGATAAAAATCTGCTGCCACCACCCCAGTAATGGTAAGAAAACCAGGGAAGAGATCACTGGGGAAATCTCAGCCCTAAAGTAAAACCAGGACACAAACATTAACCAATACCAGGCTAATAAAAAAGAAAGAACTTTTATTATTACTACAATACTCCTGTTACAAGCATAGTTGGATTGGCTAGATGATAAGAGTCACCAGTTAATAAACTCATGGGGAATTTTCCCATTGGGGAACAAAACTTAGTTACCAAAGAGAGGAAACCCCATTTCTAAATGCACAGAAATCAGATTCCCATTCCCAAACCATAAAACAACAAAACCTAACAGATTTATCTAAGCTTTACCCTACTTACAGATAGTGAAGAGTCTTTTCTTGGAGAGAGACATTTTGTCTGTCCCTCTCAGTATCTGGAGAGTCAACTGCCCAGGGACAAAGGAGGAAAAAACCAAAATTTCCTCCTTTTGAAATCCCTATCTGCATTTCTACTGGCTGACTGCTACCTGGCTAGGTACAGTTAACCCCTTAGTCCCCAGGCTGCTGCCCATCCCTCATGGTCATGACAAATTCCCTCCCAAGCACCAGCAATGCGCATGAGCCCTGCTTCCCATTTCCTCTGTCTTTGACCTTAGTTCCACAAAGGATAACATGAGGGACAATTACACTGAAGATTACATAAGCTGAACAATCTAAAGTCCTTTCATTGAATAATCTTTATGAAAAATTTCATAATTATTCTGCTTCTGGTTACAACCAGAACTAGTCCCCAAGGTCAGTTTAAATAAATAATCTGAACTTTGACAAATTTCATAAAAAGGTTCAAGGAAAGATAAGAAGACACAGGATGGAGAACATTGAAGGAAAATATTATAATTCCATGATATATATCAATCCTGTAGCTACACCTGGAATATGGTGTGCAGAACTGGCCACCCCATCTCAAGGAGGGTATGGAGGAGTCAGAGGGGGCTTAGAGAAAGATGGCAAGAATAATTCCAGCATGTCAAAATTCACTTGAGAGACTGAAAAGATTGGGGATTGTTTACCTCACAGAGAATGAGTAAATTGAGGCATGATAAAAGGATATAAAATAACGAATGGTAAAGAAATGTCATCTGGGAACTTCTATTCTCCCTGTCACCAAACACAAAATGGATTTTTTTAAATTAAATGGATAACAAGGTCTGATCCCATAGGGAAATGCTTGTATGACAAAGGGTGTGTCTATACAGCACCCTAAAATCAAAATAAGATATGCAAATTGGTTATGCAATTTGTGTATCTTATTTCAAATCTATTTTGAAATTTGGCACATCTACACAGCACCAAATTTCAAAATAACATGGTATTTCAAAAGCGACAAGGAGTCCTGTGGCACCTTATAGACTAACTGAAGTGTAGGAGCATAAGCTTTCGTGGGCTTCAGTGAGGGTATGTCTACACTACCCCGCTAGTGCGAACTAGCGGGGTAATGTATGCATACCGAATGTGCAAATGAAGCCCGGGATTTGAATAAGCCGGCCGGCGCCATTTTTAAATGCCGGCTTGTTCGAACCCCGTGCCGCGCGGCTACACACGGCACGGGCTAGAGAGTTCGGACTAGCAAGCCATTCCGAACTATCTGTACACCTCGTTCCACGACTGATTCCTCCTTCTTCCTTTCTAACACATTCCTTTTCTTTTGTTCATTTCCCCAATCTCCCCTGTAGATAGTTCTACAGAGCTATGGGATTTATTGTAGTGATTCAGGGCTGGATGGAGAGCAAAATAAATTACTGTTGCTTAAAGCACAGATTGTTAACATGTAAATACTAAATAGGTAGGCACATTGGGACCTGGCTGTGAATGTCCATTTTTCTTTCTTCCAATGGTAATATTTTGAGATGGACATGAACAAGACTTGTGGGATGCTTTCTTTTTCCTAACAGTGTATTTGGGCTATCCTTACAGTTGGCACAGAACTATTTTCCCCTTAAGTATCGCCTTCTGCACCCCAGAAAAATAAAATATTAATTCTTTTTTGACATTTCTCCATTGGTGCCTTCACAAACACTGCTGGGGTGACTGCACTTATTTCCCACTGCTTCTTTCATTTCAGTGAGTAATGTGGAACAAATACTTCTTGACTCCCCACGCTGACAAAGGATCACTTTTCACTATGCCTGCAGGGGAGTTTTTTGTAAATGTTATTGAATATTTAAAGATACTTCATGGCATTTGTGTCAGGCCTTCACATACAAACCTAATGAAAGGTTAACAATTAAGTTATCTTTTACAACCTTTTCTCCACTTGTTTTGTAGACCATGTAATAAAACAAACCTTTCCTAAAATAAAATGTGCATTTAGCCTGTTTTTATTGCTTCTTCACTAGGGCTCTTCTCTGCGGTAGGAAAAAGCTATGAATCCTTTAAAATATTTATGAAAAGCCTTTTTAAAGTACTGCTTTTGTTGAGCTGGGGGCTCAGTCACTCAGACTGATTACTGGGAAAACAATATTAACTTGCAAGAAAAAGCACTCTTTTGGTGTTCAGCCTATCACAACTGCGCACTGCACCATCAATTACTGCTCTGTTCCTTTAATTTTCAAGAAGGAAAAGGCTTCAATCCCTTTGTCCTAGTTTTACTTCTGGAAGACACAACTTCTGTAGTGAAAGCACATGATTTGGAGGCAGGACTTTCTGACTCTGCTACAAACTTTCTACGTGATCTTAAATAAGTCCGTCTCCAATTCTGCAAAAATCCAGGTGAGTACTTAACTTTCAGCAGAGCAACTAGTCCAACTGAGAGCAATGTGACACCATGTCTCAAGATAAGCCTATTTGTAAATCTTTGTAGGAGTGAGACTTTTGTCTCTACATCCCTCAGGGTACGTCTAGACTATAGGCTTTTGTCGACAGAAATTTTGTCGACAGATACTGTCAACAAAGCTTCTGTCGACAAAGAGCATCTAGACTACATCCAGTTCTGTCGACAAAGCAAGCTGCTTTGTCGACATGGCAGTGTAGACGCAAAGGACAGCTTAGATGAAATAACGCCTTCTGTCGACAGAACTCTGTCGACAAAAGGCGTTATTCCTCGTAAAATGAGGTTTACCAGCGTCGACAAAACTGCTGAGTTCTGTCGACGTTATGTCTACAGAACTCAGCAGTAGTGTAGACGCAGGTTTAGTTTTGTCGACAAAAGTCCACTTTTGTCGACAAAACCCTATAGTCTAGACACACCCTCAGTTTCTGAATCTGTAAAGTAGGGTAATGGTGCTCACCTATTTTATGTAATCAACGATACATTAGGGTATGTCTACACTGCAGGGTTTTTCTGGAAAAGCTACACTTATGTCCACACTGCTATTGCGTTCTTTAGACAGAAAGTCAAAAGAATGGAGGGGTGTTTCCTACAGTAGTAAATCTCTTTATACAAGGAAGAAGCCTTTTTCCAAAAAAGCTTTTTCAGAAAGAAGACGCAGAAGAGAGTGGTTTTCTTGAAAGAAGAGGACTCTAGGAAAAAGTACAGGTCCCCTGGTGACCACTCCATCCACAGTAATCACAACTGAAATGTGAGATAGTGTCCAGATTGATTGGACACTATCTTTCGAAAAAGCAGATCGCTTTTTCGTTGTGCTTTTACTGTGTAGAGACTCTCTTTCAAAAAAAAAGTTTTTCCAGAAGATCTCTTCCGGAGAAGCGTCTTCTAAAGGAAGCTTGCAGTCTAGATGTAGCCTTAATGATTCTGAAGTGCTTTAAGGTGGAATACAATCTATAAGGTGCAAGTACTATCGCTGTGTTGTCTCTGGATGCATTGAGTTTGGTGCTGTGCACATTGGAGGGAGGTTAAACTAGATTTTCTCTGACCTTCTAAATATCTGACTGACAGCAAGATAAGTTTCTGTATTTCACCCTGAGAATAGGTTTCTGGACCTGTAGGATAAGAGTAAGTCTCAGTGTGCATTCAGTCCTTGGCCTCTGCTGAGATGGCCAGTGAGGATTATGGTAGTGTTTAAGATGCATACACTTGTCCTCTAAGAATTGGACTGAAACCAGCCTCCTAAGACACCTACAAGTCATCAGATAGGATCAATCTGAGGTCTAAATATGGTCTGTATTAAAAATGATACAGGGCTGAAATTGCTATTTTCTTTTGGCAAGCTAAGAGCTTTTGCAACATCATTTTCCCTCTTTTCCAGTCATCCAGCCTTAGATAACTCTCTGCCCCCAATTCTGGAGAGAAAAAATGTAATTTGGCTAGAGATCATCTAATTCACTTCCCTTTGAACACTGCCCTGTGGTTCAACAGCTTTGATGGCTTTTGCACATGGAACCATTCGAATTCCATGAAATTTCTGTGGCTCGTTTTTCTTTGTACTCCAGCACTTTTGTCAGCAAAACTTTTGTTGATCAGTGGTATGAAAAAACAAACAAATTTCAACTGACATCAGTTTCACCAAATGAAGTGCCAGTGTAAACAGTGCTCTGTCCGTGAGAGACACTCTCATGCCGACATAACTGCTGCTGTTCACTGGGGGTGGCTTATTAGACTGGTGGGACAGCACAAAGCAGCTGCACAGGAGATATTACAGCAGTGCAGCTGCATCAGGACAGCTGTGCCAGTCTAAGGCCATAGTGTAGACTGGGGGAGGGGAACATTTTTTGGGCCAGGGCCTACTGACCCACAGAAAAATCAGTTGGGGGCTGCAAACAATTGAGATTTTGTGTGCTCCAGCCCAACAGTGTGGAGGAGAGGGAGGGCCCTGACCCTCAGGGACTGGACCCAGGCAAGTAAGGGGGGGGCAGCATTTGGCCCCCGGGCCTGAGGTTCCCCCCCCCCCTCGCTGTAGAAATAGTATTAGTGTCTGAATAAGCACGGGGTATAGATTGCTTCCCCTGCCTTAAATATTAGGCAGTAAGCTTGCATGTTGCAGTATTGAAGGAGCTTTTATTCAGAATCTTTCAGTGTGATTGAGCAGTTCCAACTAACCTAACAAAGTAAGTACATTTTGACTAAGAAAAAATGCAATAATTAGAATATCAAAAGGGAAAGATAAATTGTGGCAGTCAAGTCAAGTTGATATAGGGACAGCCAATAAAGTATCTTTGCATGTGCATATCACTGAGTCTATTATCAATTAATTAGATTAAGTTTCACACTCTGGAGTCTGACATTTTTGTCCTTTTTACCCTATTCTCCCCCACAAGCAGGGACAAAAAAAAAATAACCAAGCTCTTAAAGCAAAATATTTAAGCTTCTGCATAATTTTAAGTACACATGAAGGTCTGCTGAAGTCAACAGATTCATTTCTGTGGATGGCAGGCAGATGGAACACTGTTGAAATTAAAATAAATTGGAACACACAGGCTGTGTCTAATGTTAGCAAGTAGGGATCTTCCTAAATTCTTGTCTAGAATGCTCCTACACCTCAGTTCCCATGTAGAACACCATGTGATAGATAAATATTAGTATCTGTAAAATAGGGATAAGTCTAATGCCTTGCCCATGGCTACTTAATGAGTTTGTGAGGGAGCTAGGAATAGCATTCAAGAGTTCCTGCCACTCATCATTATACATAAGGTCTCCCTTATAGACAGATATTAATAAAGCTGCATTGCTAAAGGATGAGAAAAATCCACAGCCTGAGCGGCCATTATACCAATCACACTGCCTCACTTTGAGTAGTCAGCACCATGTCCCTCAGAAAGCCATTCCCATCAAAATAGCTACCACCTTTTGTGGTGGTGGATTCAATATGCTGAGGGGAGAAGCTCTCACATTGGCATAGAAGCCTCTCCAATAAAGCACTAGAGTGGCACAGCTGCACTCTGCATGAAAACAGCCCCACAGATCACAAGACCACACCAGTGGGAAATTGTTACATATGAAACCATGCGACTTGACCAAGCTTTCCTCCTCCTTTATTGATACGGGCTTTGTGAGATGTAAATTTAATTTCCTTAGTCCCATCATTAGTTACCAAGACCAGCTGCAGTGTTCATGCCTGTAGTGAGTAATTGTACAGTAACATCTAGTCCTTGGACAAGAATACAAGGGGGAGATTTATTAGGGATTCTCAGTTTCATCTCAACAGCAGAACATTACAGATGAAGTGGGGTCAAATAGAATAGTTTGGGAGTCCGAGCTGGTGTTTATACTTTAGGTTGACATTAAATTTATCATCCAGCACTATCTGTTTTGAGTTCTTATCACAAGGAAAAGGCAACCATACCATAGAATAAAGTAAAAAATGTGACCAGTTGGTGCAGGAATTGCTCCCAACTACATGTGGAAATATGATGCAATGGTCTTTGCTCTCTACTGCCTCTGCACTGGAGACAGACACAGCCTGAGCCTCCAGCTACCAATGCTGGAGGGACCCAGCACGAAGGAAAGCACACACTGGATCATTTTAAAGTGCACCACAGGTGTTGCAGTCATCTGCTCCCTGACTGGGAATCCAAGAAAGACTTAACTCTGGCTAAGAGTCAAAGTTCATCCTAGAGTTTAAAAGTCATGTGGCAAGGCCCCACACTGGTTTAAGTCAGTGCAGCTCCATGAAGTTTAATGGTGATTTACTGCTGTCCCCAGTCTGTTAGAATCATAGGGTTGGAAAAGACCTCAGGGGGTCATCAAGTCCAGCCCCCTGCCCAAAGCAGGACCAACCCCAACTAAATAAACCCGGCCCGGGCTTTGTCAATCTGAGACTTAAAAACCTCTAGGGATGGAGATTCCACTACCTCCCTGGGTAACCCATTCCAGTACTTCACCATCCTCCTAGTGAAATAATGCCCTTTGATTGGCAAGAGAAAGACACTCATTTCTTTATAGTCTGAACAAGAATGAAAGTTTCTCCTTACCTTATTAGTATACAGTACCACTTTGAGAACACTATCATCTACCATGGAGTAATAAAATTGAAAATGGCAATTCTTGCCAAAGCAGTGATACATGGAGCTGTTAAGATAAGCACTTTGGAATAATGTGTTGTCATTAACTCCCATACACACATAATGGCCTGAAAAAAAAAAGAAAAGAAAAAAAATTGTGTTATAAAAAAAAGAAATACTGGATTTCAGTCATCACAAAGGCAACTGATGGTTTCAACACCACCAAGTTGTCTTTTTCTAAAATTGTCAAAATGACATGACTTGAACTGCCCCCGTGAACTCAGATACTGGTATCAGCCTAAGGCTATCCTAAAAACAGTTACTTCAGACCATGGCAGTCTCAAGCCACAATATGGACCATGTGCTGTTCAGCTGTTTCACATTTTCAATCATTCCATACTTAATCATTGCTACTTTTATCTGAAGTTTGCCTTTCTTCCTTCCCAGCATATAGCTAATAAATATATATTTTACAGTAAACTTGATACTGCTATAGTCTCTAAAGAATTAAATAAGGGGGGAAAGTTCTGCCCTCCTGCAGAAAACACCAAGAGGTGTAAGAGCTCTTTGGAGCTTAAAAAGGGTCTGTAGCTCTGAGCCAGGATGCGTGCACCTAAGTGTCAGCAGCCCACTGTCTTTCCATCTGAAGCAGGAAACCAATTTGGGCTTTTTGTGACCTACTGCCCCTCATAAAAGTGCTTCTACAGAGGCCTAAAAGAATCCCTATGTCCTCAATAGTCCTCTTTTTAATCTATCAGAAATAAAAAGACAAGACACCTGTTCTTTATCAACTACAGCATGGCTTTTTTCCCCTCTTGAGTTATATGATACTTTGCTATTTTCTGGAAGCTCCCAGTTAAGATACTTCGTTATTACATCTAATGTACCCCCTTCCAACTTCTATAAATGTGTGTTCTCATATTTAGACCATACTCCTGGAACACTTCAAACATAAAAGGGGGAAATGGCATTTCATAAAAAATGTTTACAGTACATTATATTTTGTAAAAAGGTCATATGCTCCCAATCATAGCTTTTCTTTTGCACTTAGAATCACAGAAACATAGAATACTAGGACTGGAAGGGACCTTGAGAAGTCATTATTTAGCGTTCCATTTTGCAATACAATACTTGTCATACTTCTTCAGGTCACAAAACCTACCCATCCTTCAGAAAAATGGTAATATTACAAAAAGCCCCACAGTGTGCCAGTCTGCACAGATTACAAAAACATCTATATTTTTCGGACCATTGCATTATGAGACTAGCCATAAAGTAACAGTAGAATTTCTTGCACCCATTGTTCAATTGAATAATACAGGTGGCAACATCAAATCTGGAGCTTGGCAAATAACTCAGTTTTCCTTTTGGTGGTCCTTTTAAAAAAAATGAAAAAAAATTGTCCAACAATCCCAATTTGAAAATTGTGTAAAAGATTACTCAAACTGAAAACGGCAAAGGTTGCATAAGAACATAAAAACGCCCATACTGGGTCAGACCAGAGGTCCATCTAGCCTAGTATCCTGTCTTCCAACAGTGGCCAATGCCAGGTGCCTGAAAGGGAATGAACAGAGCAGGTAATCATCAAGTGATCCATCCCGTCGTCCATTCCCAGCCTCTGGCAAACAGAGGCTAGAGACACCATTCCTCCCCACCCCAGCTAATAGCCATTGATGGACCTAACCTCCATGACTTTCTCTAGTTTTTTTTAAACCCTGTTATAGTCTTGGACTTCATGACATCCTCTGGCAAAGAGTTCCACAGGATGACTTTGTGTTTTGCTTGTTTTAAACCTGCTGCAAAATATTTTATAGGACCTGAAATGAACCATTTTGTTTTGTTGTCAGGAACTTTTTAACATAAAAATCATAGCAAATGAAAGGCTAGATTAAACAACAAACAGAGATTGGTGGGTGACTCCCTAATAACTGTTTACCCTGTGTTAGAGCATTTACCTCACATGTGGAAACCCAGGTTCAGTTCCCTCCTCTGCCTGATGTGAAACAGGGCTTTGAACCTGAGCCTGCCACACTAAGCATCTCGGTAAAAGCCTAAAGGAAAGTGCATTCCCAGTTAGTTTACAGATCATTTCAAGAGAAGTGATAGGGAAGGGCTTGATGTAAATTTCAGCTTCTCTTCTAGGACAGAAGTTTCAAAATCCCAGGGGAAACAGAGCATACTGGGCAGGTGCACTTGCTCCAAGGATCCTGCCACCACGGGGCGCAGCACCCTGCGATACTCAAAGCCGCATGCTCGGGGGATGGAGCTGTTTCCATCAATACTTGTTTGACATGGGGAGGAGAAGGCAGGGTGATGTGGGACAGTCTCCCTCCCGGCCTGCTGATAGTCCTGGGCCAGATTGCACAATCACTCTAGCTGGGATTAGCCTGTGAGCCAGGAGTTTGAGACCCCTGCCTAGAGTTCGAGCACTGTTAGCACCAAGAGATTACATCATCCCAGGGCTGTGGTATGCAAAGAGGAACAAAAATCTGGATTCTCCTCTAAGCAGTCTCTTAAGGACCCCAGTCTTACTGCTGCACAGTGCCTTTGAGGAAAACATCTGCCCAGGTTCTTTTCTCCCTACTTTTCAGTACAACACAGTGAAGGGTTTGGTTCTTCTTTCAGAGTCTTGATTTAGTTGCATGGAATACATGATAAACAAGTATTGATGGGAACACTTTCTGGATAGGACTAGACAGATTTTTACAGAAATTTGTTACAGTAAAAGGTCAGCACATTCATAGCAAAAAAAGACAGACTAGACATTGAAAGGAGTTCAAATAAACACCCTTTCCAACTATATTTAAATAGGTCTTCACCTACAAGATTATGAGGAAGTAGCAGGTAGTAAGAAAATTCTGTCTGCTGAAAAATTATTTGAGCTATGGGAAGAGAGCAAAGAAAAAAAAATCAAGGGGAGATAACATACATTTTTATAATGTAGGCCATTTTCACGATATACATCTGATGGGATTTTCATCAGTTGTTTTTTGTAAGGTTTTGTGTGTGTTTTAAACCAAGGTGTAGAAATCAGTTATATATATATATATTTTAAAAGTCATATAATTGGCTTGATTTCTGATTAAATAAATGTATGGAAAGGAGGAGAAAGAGAGAGAAAAAGAGAAACTAACTATGGGAGTCACATGCAGTATGGTGTAGATCTAGAGACAAAAGAAAGGAAAAAATCTGCTAATGGATAAAAAATACAGTAAATATAGAAACTATTGGTCAGAGGGAGGAAAAAGCTCTGAAAGAACCTCTAACTTTAGAGAAACTAAGAGAAAAAGTAACAAGTGGGGGAAAGAAGCAACAGAGCCAAACATATTTTTTAAAAAGTCAGCCAAAGTCAGAAAATACTTTATTAAATTTAACAATACCAGGAAACTAGGATTACTCAAATCCTATAAGCAATTCTTCCTTTATAAATATAATTATCTAGACCTCAGCTCTACAATTTTGTTTCCTACCCCCTTCCTATTTAGGATAGTGGAAGTTTTATCAAAATCACAAGCTAAAGCTCAGTCAAACTCCATTTGGAAGCTTGAATTTTCATACAATGCATTTTTGCAATTTCATTACACCATAGCTCTAGTTTTTAGCATTTTAGTCATTAAGATTACCTTTGCTTTTCCTTTATAGCTTGAATAACTACCAAGAAAAGAAATGCTGACAAAGTGAGTATCAAGCAGAGAGGAACTGAACTAGTTCAGAATTCTTGGATGCCTTCCAACATTTACGAAGAATTAATTTCTGTGTGTTGCTGTGCCTTTTCTCTCATCTTTCTATGTGTTGTTTCACATTTATAATATGAAATGCTTAGAGCAGCCCAAACTCATTGTTTATGGAGAATATATTCAGCCTATTCAATTATCTATGTCTATTTACCAATTATATAACCCACGTAGTTGAATGATAGGCTTTTCAGAACATATTCATATCTAATAAAGACTAATTAAGGAGTTAAATTTGACCCAGTCATGTACTCAATAGCTGATAAAAAGGGAAGTTATTGTGTCTAATACCTAGAGAACAATGATTGCCCATATTGGAACACAAGAAGGCTCATAGCCATTACTGACGTTAGTGTCACTGACTGAGGCAATATCCTTCATGAGAGGTGTTCAATTGAAGTTCCTTCTTTGTTAACTGTCCCAGCAGAAGTTAAAGGCCCCAGAATAATTGAAAAGAATGGGGAAATCATCTTGGTTTTCTAGGAAGCATTCCCTCTATACTATCACACATTTTAATGTTCAGAAGTACATTCTATTAATAAGTGCATATAGCAATCATGCTTGCTTATGGGGAAAACACTGTACTATCAACATCTTATTCATTGTTACAAAGTGATTTGGGACAAAGCTGAAAACTAAGCTGATCCTGACCCTAAGGAACCCTAAAGCCCTTGCTGACTTCTGAAGATTTCCACATTATTGGACTCTGTTACCCCAAAAGGGGTGGACTTGAACAAGTGATCTGGATGGAGGGCTGAGCTGCTAACTGGACAGAGCACCATAAGGCAGAGCTATAGAGAGAAAGGGCAATGCCCAGGAGGGAGACAACTTGCCCACTGGCCTGGCTATTAGGTGACACTGGCAGTGAGTGTTCCTCTTCACATGCCTCCAGGGAACTACTGCCACCTAGAGAGAGGCTAAGATTTATAATTCACGCTTAAGTGTGTGGATTTGTTTTGTCCTTCCTTGCCCAATGAAAGGCATAATGCATGGGAGGCTAAGACAAAGCAGTACCTTAGAAATAATATGGCTGTGGCAAAAATGAACAAACCAATGAGATATGCTATAGAATAATGATGTAATCCTCTCCCATAGATAGGGCAAAAAATATTACAGTAAGGTTTGATTTATCAAAGATCAGCTTGTTTGAAAATTTAGCTGAAAGCTCTTCATGTTCTCATAGCATGCACATAGATCTTGTTATTCATATTGAATATTCAGAAAAGTAGTATAAAAATAAAGCATGTGATGACTTCGAATTGTATTTCCACAATATTTCCCTCAGACTTTTCCTATAAATTACCACAATCTAATGACAGCTAATAACCATGTATTTATTCTTACCTCCAGTATCATTGCTTTGATCTTTTAGGGGAGCTGATTTTGAGGCAAGATTGTTGCCTGCTTTTGTGCGCACCCAGGAAGCATTGTCAAATAATGAATATGAATTCCAGTCACACATGTCAAGCTCGAAACTGCAAACGTGCTGATCTAAATGGGAAAGCAATCATTCGGTTACTTCAAAAGTCATTATTTCTGAGATAATTTCCTTTTAGAGATTAATGTTCGTTGAACTACTTGACAGGTCTTCTGCCTTTGGTCACCTCACAAGCAATCAGCCTACTACTGGATTTAGCTGATACTCTATGTTGCCTTCTGTAGTGATAAAAATTTTTAATATGAAAACTAGAAAATAAAATGCTTCAATTGCTTTGATCTGGTTTTTTTTCCCTCTGATTTTTTTGAGTTCTCAAAAATTTTAAAGATTTAGACTTTTTGTTGGGAAAAGAAAACTTTTCAAAATTTTAATTCTTGCAGGAGGAGAAAACTATTTCCCACCTAACTCTAGTTATTAAGGATATTCTGTGGTAGAGGTTGGGTTAGAGGTGGTGGTCTTCTGAAACACAGACATTCACTTGACCAATCCTTTACATGTTTTTATGCAACACAGTTGCAAATCTGTGGCTATTATGAGCTATGTAATTAAGCATCAGCCACAGTTTAGTCAAATATCCTGAGTTCTCTCTTAAACTGTCTGCTTGTAAACATGCTTATCTTTACTAATGACCTAATTTGCCTTTTTTATTAAATATTGAAAAGCTAACATGAGCATATAACATGAGTGTATAACTTTACTGCAAAGTACAAACTTCAGAGGATTTGAAATGTAGATCCTTCACCCCTTTTGATATCAAGTCAACCAAAGTTGGCTTTAATTGTATTACCGCTACAAGTTTTCTGAATGGCTGATATGTACAAAGCTGAAAATAGTGAGGTGCAATTTGGCATTTCAGCAGTCCTTGCTTAATGATGACATCAGTGGGAAATTGTGTTTATACAAGAAACTATGGGGTCTAACTCTGCTTAAATCAGAATTTATAAATACTTTGGGTTATCCAGGTCTACTAAAAAAAAAGACAATGACTAACTGGTTTTGAATTTTTTTTTTTATATTTAAGTATATGTGGCAGGGGTGGCCTTAACATCAGGTGAACTGAGGTGGCCGCCTCAGTGCCACACTGTGGGGGGTGCCACTAGGACCCAGAGCGTGGAAAATTGTGTCTGCTGCTGGTGCATATGTATTCTCTCTGCTATAGATGCACAGAGATGGTGGAGTTCTGTGCTGGAGGAAGGAGGGCACAAGAGACATAACAGGCAGGCAGGAGAAAAGGTGGCATGGGGGCATCATTTCAGCTCCCCACCTAAGCTCCCCACCAAAAATCTTCTGGGCTGGCTCTGATATGTGGTCTAATACATTTTTCTACTAATGTCTTGGTCTCAATAGAAAATATTTTTTTTAGGAAGTTGGATAAAACTTTTTAATGCCTGGATCTTTTTAAATTCTGGAAGAGGGGTTGATGTACAAGTGGGAAGTAGAGACCTATGGAGAGGATTTCTGGGGAATGCTGAGTACTCAAAGGCAGTAACAGAAGGTAGTTCCTTGTGCAGTAGAGAAAGGAGGAGTGGCACATTGAAGGAGCAAAGCAGTTGGGGACAGAAGCAGGAGAGGTGTATGTGTGAAGAGAGAAGTGGACTCTGCACTTTTTCAGGCCACTCAAAGCCATTCCATAGATATATATATTTATTAATAATTTTGTAGTGTGTTTGTGTGCCCTATTTTAGGGAAAACCTCGTCTGTTTTCAGTAGACAGGCAGATATTGGATCAAAAAAATTTTTAAATGAACATATCTGAAATAAGGTAATTTATACAGTTTTCCCTAAAGCTTAGTTTTATATCAGTGAACACAAATGTAGCTCCATGCGCAGAATGGCTGGTACATATGGTAGTGACAGGAAGGATTCTGGAGAAATGGAAATTTCAGGAAATCAAACTAGTCTCCCTCTCATCTGGCCATTTCACAAAGACCAGCACCATAAGGAGTATGCATTTCAGCTAGTCTTTTTTCTGACCCTCCATTTAAAATGTTCTGCAGTAAAACCTCTTTCCTTCAGGTGTAATTAAAACTCTTCTTACTCTTTGTTCTTCTGAGATGTCATCTCAGGAGGATGACTTCTCACCTACAATGTGCCTCTAAATTTAGATGCAACAAGAAATAGGTTCAGTATGAGCACATTTGATGTGCTTTGTTACTGCTCCAGCATATCAGTTGATACACCATGCTTGCTATATATGCAAGATAAGTTTAACATTATATGTAAAGGAGCTTCAGGGGATAGCCGAGTTAGTCTGTTACAGAAAAAAAAAAAGCAGCAGCAAGCAAATGGTCTGGTAGCACTTTATAGACAACAAAACATGTTGATGGTATCATGGGCTTTCGTGGGCACAGTCCACTTCCGGTCATCTGTTTTGCTAGTCTATAAGGCGCTATCAGACCATTTGCTTGCTGTTATTATATGTAAAGCGGGTCTGCCAATGTGTGTGTGGAGGGGGAGGACAAAGGGAGCAGTTATCCCAAAGCCCAGCGAGACAATGGAGCCGGGACGCTGGCTGCACCATGTGGGCCACATACTCTGAACTGCACAATGGGCTGGTGGGGAGGAGGTGCCAATGTTCTGGGTAGTGCTAAGGGCTGGCTGCCCTTGGCCACAGTTCTTCCACTCTTATCCCCACCCCTTCCTGGAGCACATAAAGCCAGTGAATTCACACACATGCATATACTCTGAGGGTATGTCTACACTACAGTGTTATTTTAAAATATCTTATTTCTAAATAGCTTATTTTGAAATTACACGTCTACACACAAAATGCATTGCAAAATAGCATTTTGCTATTTCAAAATAGCACGTCCACACTGAATGGACTCCGAATCGCATTTAAGGCTGGCCAGAAGAAGTTCCGGCAGGGCACCAGGTCAGGACTTACTGTGTGGGGCTGCTGCCTGAGGCTATCTGAGGTCTGTGTTTAAAGGGATTCCCCTCCCCTCCCCCTCCCCGGACAGCCAGTTGTCAGGTTTCCCTGCTTGCTTGTCTACCTCAATGAGGGACAGCAAAGCATTTTGTCTCTGAGTGCTCTAGTTGCCCTCACTCAGGACACCACAGCACTCTGCAACACTGAGCCAGAGCTGCCCCTGGGCACTCTGATGCTTCTCTTGGACGGGTTGCTGTGAGCCTGGCTTCACTTTCTGCAGGCTGCCATCCAGGAGGTCCATGGGGGCCTGTCAGTATCCAGGAGGCTCTGCGGGAGAGCTTCCACCCTGAGGAGCACTAAGAGCCTCCCTGGTGTGCCCCACTGGGGGCTTGTGCTTCATTCCTCCCTCATGTCCTTCCACTTACCCCTCCCTAACCCCCCTTCCTAATGTCAAATAAAATACACATATTTTCAAGAACACAAACTCTCTTCATTTAACAACACTGGGGGGGAGGGAATGAAACTCTGGTGAGACGGGGGAAAGGAGGTGGGAGAGGGGAAGAGAGAGGGTGGGAGAGGGTAGGGGGAAACATGGGATGAGGGAGCTGGAAGGGGGAAGCAAGGGGAAGAAAGGGGAGGAGAAGCTCAGGGCTCAGGGTTGGAGGTCTTGCTGGACCAACTTGATTGTCATGCAAACTTGCTCCTGGGTTCGCATGTGTCCTTTGGTGGCCAGGCTGGCAGCTATCCTGCCATAGACGGCCGCGTTCCTCTGTCTAGTGAGGAAATCATGGAAATTGGGGGCATCCCCCCAAACCTGAATAAAATCCATGATCTCCACCCTAGACCAGGAAGGCACCCGCGTTCTCTGGGCCCTGGCAGGCTCCTGGGAGCTGGCAGACTGCTCCTGGGGAGCGGTGCTTGCTGGCTCATGTTTTGGGGCCACTAGATCAGGGGCAGTGACTGCTGGCTCTAGGCTGGCAGGCTTGGAGCTGGCACAGGCACTGTGGCCAGAGTCTACCCGTTTAAAGGCTCCGGGGAGAGGGGGACAGAGTGTTCCTGGATGAGGCCAGAGTGGCCACCAGGGAACCCTCGGAAGGCTAGAGGCCCCCTATTTCAAAATAAGTGTCTACACAGCACTTATTTTTAAATAGCTATTTTGAATTTGGTGTTATTCCTCGTAGAATGAGGTTTACCAAATTCAAAATAAGCGCTCCACTATTTCAAATTTATTTCAAAATAAATGCTATGATGCTATGAAAGTTATTTAGAAATAAGGGCTGTTATTTTGAAATAACTTTGCTGTGTAGACATACCCTAAGAAATCAAGGACATACCGGCTTATTGGCCACAATGACAATGTCATTTTTTTCCTCTAGATTTGTTTCATTATTCCACCTCAGCTGTAGTAATCCTCCAAGGAAGAGACAGAGAGAGAAAAATCACATTCCTGCATTAAGAGCTTCACTGACTCCTTGTTTCAATCTAGGCTTGTAAAAGAGCACACTGCAGAATATTCTCCATTCAGCATAGGGTGAGTATGTCCAAAGCAAGTAACAGGGTTCCCAGCACTCCTATACAACCCTGCTGAGTAACAGTTACAAATGGGTACTGGAATGTAAATAAGCACACCTGACATCCTACTTTGCTTCTACTTTTTGCAAATGCAGGACATCCGAGGCATGGAAATACTTACAGCCCAGCAAGTTTAACTGAAATTTAAGTTTTCCTATTTACATAGAGATGTGCCCTGTGAAATAAAAATTAATCTAGCCCCGAATTACCAGGATCCTGAAGATTTGCATGCGGCTCTTAAAATGAAGATAACACTGAAATAGATCATTGTTCAGAATTCTAAAATATTAAATCAGTTTGGGGATCTACTGTAAATTCCTTCTCATGGGAGCCTCCTATTTTAAACTCCAGTGTACAAAACTGTTTGCAAAAGCTAAATATATCTGAGACAGAAGATAACAGTGTGATGCTGGGAGACCAGACACCAGTTTATGGCAAGGTCTCCATGTCTCAACTGAACACTGACAATAAATAGCTGAAATCTCTCTGGCTCAAATGTGGATTCAGATAAGATAAGTACTAAAATATTTGGACTCTATCGAATGCTTGTGAGTTGCTGCATGCATTAATCTTACTTGTAATATTTGTATCAGATCCGCAATGTTATACTTGAGTGTGCATATTGTGAGCCTCTGTGACCATGCATCATCATATGGGAGAGACACATGAATTAATGTGAAGGACAGCTCTTCTATAGAAACTACTATGTCTCTCCTGCAAGAAGAGACCCATCAATACCAGACAGATTATAGCTGGATCTTATAACTAGAAACTCTCTGCATCTGGATTGAAGAACAGTCAGCAAAAGGACTAAAGACATATTGTTGTTCTCCTCTCCTCCCCATGAAAACGAGGCACGTGAGTGGTCTCCTCCCATCGACTGAGATTGTAGCTGGGAACACATAGCAGGAGAAGGATAAAAACTCCAAAGAAAGATATCTATGTCACTGGGTCTGGGGGAAGGAGGGAGGTGTTTTGAAGAACTAAGCAAGAGATTCCCCAGCTACTTAACACAGATTAACTGTAAAGGACAAATACTCAGTTTGCTGATTATAGAAGCCTCTGTTACCTTTTAAAACCTGAGACCAACTAAGATATGAATTCACTTGCTTTAACCTTGTAAATAATTTTTAAATTTCATTTTCCTATTTAATAAATCTTCATATAGTGTTTTATAGGATTCTTGCTGTAAGGGCCGCATAAAAGACATGCTCATCTGGATGGCAAGACAGACTAGAATATCCAAGGGGACTGTCTGTGACTCTGTTTAAGGTTGTTAGTGTGTCAGGGGCATATTTGTTTGGTGAAGCTGGTTGCTGGAATCTAAGTTTAGAACTAACAATGAGTTTGGCTTTTTCAGCACCCTGCCCCAAGGTTTGTACTCACACTCTTGTACTACCAATATGAGCATCACAAACATATACCCACATGGTCCAAACCTCAAAGCTTTGCATTCTCCACTGAGGCCCAGCAGATTTCAGTACAGCTCAGGAATGAGAAGATGCAAAGTTAAAGCCATTTTTGCACCAATTCTGGATTATCGGTGTGCCAGCCAAATCTTCCGGTGTAATTTAGAGTAACATGGAGGCTACTCTAATTTACATACGCCAGTGGCCAAAAGAGGTACTTATTGTAGTCAGGGACCTCTGGAACAGCAGAAAAGCCTCAGACATGCCCCTTTTCTCTTGAACAAATCCTGTCTGCTAGCTGGAGAAAGGGGAACACATAGGAAATATTCCACTGGCTTTACACCACTGGAGAATGCCACTATGCTTGGATGATCTCTTCCAGGGCTGACTACACTGAATTTATGGCTGCTGAGAGGCAGGAGAGTAGCACAAAGTAATTACAGGGCAGCTGAATCAGGGCCTTACAGTTTTCAAAAAGCCAACAGAACTTTTTTCTGTTTGGTGGAGAGGGGGAGGTTGTTTTGTTTTGTTTTTAAAGGTCATTGCCACTGCTTTCCCTCAGATGGCTGAAAACATTAATTTTCATTCAAAGAACAGTAGATCTTACCTACCCATTGAAGACTTTGTGGTGCTATTTCTGCAGAAAGCTCATCAGGCATTCATAATATACCACATTTTTATTGTCTCTCTTGTGGTATGAAATCTGACAGCCGATAGTTTGGAGGAATAAAATATAAGCCTCATTAAAATGATTAAGAAGTTAAGAAATATTTTGAGTACAAAATGGCCTCTTTGCTTTTTTTTCTTTTGGCTTCAGGGGGAAATAATTATTTGTGTGGTTAAAGAAAGGATTCTTACCAAATACTGGGAAACATCCTCCACTGAAAGAAATATCATCAATAGCAATGGTATTATCCGGCTCCGACGCCTCAAGTGTCCCTTGAATGACAACCTGAATGATGTTTAGCAACAGGTTAGGAGGAAATACCATTAATGTTGTGTCACATACGTAAGAATAATTATACCTGCATGCTGCAGAATCACTGAAGTTGTTAATATTACGTGAACAGACGAGAATATAAAATGTAGAGTTTTCATTAGAAATAAAGCAGCTCAGGTCATGCAAAAAAACCCCAAAAAAGGTAGTCTATAAGGTGCCACAGGACTCCGCGCCGCTTTTGCAAAGAAACAAAAAATACCTCAGTGGATTAACAACCTGGCTTTTGCTCACTGCTGTGGCATTTGTCACCATGGATTTACACCTTAGTCATTCTTTCAGGTCCAAAACTAAGTTGACTTTAACCAAAAGTCCCATGCAGACCACAATAAAATATATTCTTTTCAGAGGACCTCAGTAAATTAGTATCACAGTGGTTAAGAGACAGAAAAAAAAATTGAATGATCAAGTCCCTCTTCCTTCTTACTTCTAGCATTTACCAGGCACAGATCTGGAGAAGTGATAGAACATTTAACGTCACACCAGCCTGTAAACTATAGACAGCCTGTAAACTGACAGCTAATACCATTCCAGACTGTGGAAACTAGAAACTGCATCTTGAGAAACAAAAACTATCAGCTGTTAATCACAAATGCCTCAAAGGAGCTATACTTCCATCACTTACGTTGTGCCATAGGACCAATGCCAGATGCTTTCCATTTCTGTTAGTGATTTAGGACTATATTGTAAACCAGCCCATATGGTCACACAGAAACATAAGGGGAATAAAACCACCCAAATACACTTCCACTGTACCACTTTCCCTCATCCGGGCCTCAGGCCAAGTGGGGAGAGCAGGGCTGCATATCAAGTACTTCTTCACCAGAGAGGTCAACAGAGAGATGGGTAGAATTTAGGCTTTGCTGTCTCCCCACCATACGCTACTGAGATTATGGTGTTGAAAAATAAGTAATTTGCTATGAGCAAGAGGCAGTAGAAGATAATTTTCCTGCTGGCAGCGAGGTGGAAGTGGCAATAATGAAGAAACTGAATCACAGTTGGCAGGGCCCTTTACGGAGTGGTGATGCTACACCCTCCCTTCACAATGAGCTGTATGTAAAAGCACAATCTTGTCTTAATAGTAAGTGTCAAAATCATAATACTAATGCAGCAAAACTTTCAATATTTGTTTTAAAGTTCAGAGACAAATTTATGAACTGCTTGTACAACTTAATAGTAAATACATGAGGCCTGCAAACCCATCTTTCTGTGTCACCTTATAGACTAACCGAAGTGTTGGAACACAAGCTTTCGTGGGCAAAGACCCACTTCGTGACATGCATCTGATGAATTGGGTCATTGCCCATGAAAGCTTATGCTCCAACACTTCGGTTAGTCTATAAGGTGCCACAGGACTCCTTGCCACTTTTGCAGATTTAGACTAACACGGCTACCCCTCTGATACTCGACACCATCTTTACAATGTTTCATTCTGATTTGTAATGGAAGCAAACTCTGAAGCATGAGAATTTTTCGTGGAACAGAAATTCCATTCGACGGTCTTTTATTTATTCATGTTGGCTACGTCTAGACTGGCATGATTTTCCGGAAATGCTTTTAACTGAAAAGTTTTCCGTTAAAAGCATTTTCGGAAAAGAGCGTCTAGATTGGCAGGGGCGCTTTTCCGCAAAAGCACTTTTTGCGGAAAAGTGTCTGTAGCCAATCTAGACGCGGTTTTGCGCAAGAAAGCCCCGATTGCCATTTTCACAATTGGGGCTTTTTTGCGCAAAACAATAACACATTGCCTACACTGGCCCTCTTGTGCAAAAGCATTTGTGCAAGAAGGCTTTTGCCCGAATGGGAGCAGCATAGCATTTCCACAAGAACACTGACAATCTTACATGAGATCGTCAGTGCTCTTGCAGAAATTCAAGCGGCCAGTCTAGATGCAGCCATATTGTACAAAGTTTAACTATATCAAGTAAACTTTGGGTTAGTCATATTTCAGTAATTATAATTATATATTCAATATATTCAATTTTCCATTGATTATATTGTTTTAAATATGCTTCCAAAAATGTTATTCAGCACAGGATCATAGCTTGGAAAATAAAACATATACGTTTAAAAATACAATAGTTAAAAAAAAAGTTTGACCATTTCACAGTTAGCATTGCATATGAGGTTGAATTCGACTGATTTACAATAGGCTTGCTTATTAACAATTTAAACCAGTGTTCTGAAATTATCTCCTTGACTAATCTGAGTAGAAATTGAGTGAACTTGCATGATTTGGATAATATTAGAGCAGTAAAGTCTTGTTTTGGTTTTGCGCAATCAGAGGTGGTTTCAGAATCATATTCTACATAACTCCCATATGAGATACTATTCAATGTTGTACTACTGCTATCCCCATGCAATTTGTGTGACTAATAATTTATCGTAGATGATGATATTGAGCATAAAAACTGTGTGTGTGTTACGCATACATAAGGGGATACCCTTAAATGTATCTAGACAATGCTTGGTCCTGCCATGTGGGCAGGGGACTGGACTCAATGACGTCTCGAGGTCCCTTCCAGTCCTAGTGTTCTATGATTCTATCAGTTAAGTGCTTTCTACAATTTAGTAGCTGACTGTGATGGCACCTGATGATCCAACACCTTTTGGCCCATATCCATTAGTACTTTCTGACTGTTTTGTATCGGCAAGACAAAGCAGCCATAAAGCTGTTCTAATTGTCTAGCCAAGCTGGGTTTTCAGCTATTTTGTGTCTCTCGATTTGCACAAAATACCTGACATACTGGTTAATCTAGCCCTTTATTTTTTAAAGAAATAGCACATGCCTTCTCTGGGAAAATAGATAAACTTAGTGGACGCTCATAAAGTGAAAACTGCATCATTTCATAGGAAATAGATGCTAGATATTTAACATATGCATATGAAATAAAACTATTGCAGAAAGAAGAGTACCTAAGAAGGTGGTTTGCAAGCTTCCTCAGCAGTTTGATGGCAAACCTCCTCTCACAATCTTTAGAAGAATACTTGTAATGAACACCGTGCAAGATATTACAAGAACAGCATGTCCCTTCAGTCTAGCCAGGCAAAACAACAACAACAACAACAGTGATAGATCACCAGCAGTTATTGTTTACCACAATACCTAGTAGCAGCCTTGATTTGTATAATCAAATGTTCCCATGGAGCCAATATGTCCTAACTTCCTATGAATCTTTTAAAGATACATTTTTGTATACAGTGAATGAATTAATGGATGAATGGATTAATAAATATTACTCTGATAGTTTGAACACAAAGTTGAATGTTGCATTATAAAGTACATGAATGGAAAAACACGTTCAGTTCCTGCATATTTCCTTCCCTTTACCTTCTTCTCACTATTCTGAACAAACTATTTTATGCTTATTGTCTGATTCTCAACACAGGAGGACAGGCACAGCGCCCCTTGACATGAGGAGAGGGAAAAAATCCTGAAAATGTTCTAGTGAAGAACTTGATACAATTGACCTCAAAGGGAGTAAGTTTGATACCAATTTTAAATCTTTCTACTTCACGAGTGCCAAGTCTGTATTTTTCTCTCTCAGACTTGGCTGGAGTTTCTTACTCCAGAAGGAAAATGATAGTGTTAAATGCTTACTTCACACCTTCAACTACTGTTGGTTTTGTTTTTCAATGTTGTACTAGTCTTCACAAATGGCAAAAACTTTATCTCCCTCTTAATTCATTTAACTCAATAACAACTGAATTGATTCTGTTCAAAATTTGAATAAATATTTACCTGTTTCTTGAGAGCTAGTTTAGTAATATTTAGCTCTAAAGGCCAAGGAAAACAGAACAATGGAAATATCTTAAGTTTAGCAATAGCATTTGCTACCATGAACATAACAATGAATGCATCACAATATTTTACCACTAGACCCATTATTGCTAGCTGTAATGACCACCAACACAAGGGTATTACAATGGCTAAGATTATGACACTTTCTCTTTTTGCTCTGCCAGGCAGTTCTGGTTTGTATGACTGAACCCTCTGCACATGCTGAATGCCAATGAAGTTGATAGCCTTTCCATGCCCTCAGATCCCTATCTGTGCAATCAGACTGCAGAAATGGGACCTACCACAGCAAATACCAAAGAAATGACAGGTACAGGACTGAATCACAGGGACAGTATCACCTTCCCAATCATATTTATTCAGAGCAATCCCCTGTCTTGTTAAGCTACATCCATTTTTATATGTAAAAACTTGCAGCATGGAGTAACTATGGAATAAACACTGCTCAAAGAGTTCTGCTAGGCAAAGGATGTGCTGAGTTCATTCTGTGATGAGCGGCTTAAAATGGTGTTAAGCTCAAAACACTATATCAAAACACCGGGTAGTTGGCAATAAGCGGTATGGTTATTTTCCTACCTTTCATTTTTGCTTGAGTTCAGTGCTCCTGAAAAATGCTATCTTGACAGCTCTTGCAGGCCCGTATCCAGGAATTTATGTGTGTGTGTGGGGGGGGGGGGAAGGGTTGTAAATGTGGACTGCAAGAGCATGAATACATCTCTCATGGTCCCCCAAGTAAGCGGGGAAATCAGCCCCAGCCTTCCCACAGCCAACCAAAGCATGGGGGAGGAAAGTTCAGGCAGCACGCTGCTCCTGCCTTCCCCTGGCCAGCTGGAGCATGCTTACTTGGGGAACCATGGGGTGTGCGTTCGCACCCTTCATAGCCCCCCTGCATACAGGCCTGCCTGGAGACTGAGGTCCCCTGAATATCCACAGGAGAAGTTCAGAAAGACAACTGCAAGATTCTAACAAGGACTTCCAAGGATGAGAGGTACTTCAGCTCCAAATAAGA